GGAGACGTAACAATATACTAGCAACTATGTAATATGAAGACTTGCATGGTTCTCGATTCACAAAAATGATTTCATTAAAAATCAGTACCATCCTATGTATTATAAAAACCACAATAATAATAATAATAATCAACTTAAACTGAAACAACAAATCAACAAACATACACCTAGAACATATGCCTAATTAGTAAGATATCTTTTTATTACTGTTACTTTAGATAATATTTTTAGTATCTCATCAATTTAATATGAATTAATTGGGAATTTAAGAATCTATCAAAAGCAAAGCAACTCTCCTGCTCTAGTATGGGTATTTTGTAAATAGGGGGTAATTGACTCACCGCTAGGGGGTTTTTCAGTGTAGTATCTGGCAACCTTGGATACAAGATTACCAAGGGAAGTGGGTTTTTGTAGGAAAGGCACTATAGTATATAATATATTATAATTAAAATATCGTTACCGCAGTTGTTGGTTTCGAGCTAAATTGGTGTCCGTTAAGTTAGCGTTGATTTAACTTAATACATAATCTGTATCAGGTACTGTTAATTGAAGTGTTATGAGTATGATGATGAATTGTCGATTAATAATTCTAACGGTAGCTTCAACTTTTAAATTCTACTAGTAGTAGTAGTCTGTATTAATCTAGAAAGAGTACACTAGCTCAACAGCTGTGTTAGGGAATAGTAATTTTAGTATTACGATTAGTATTAGCAAGTAATACAACACCAAAAGTACTAGTAGTAGCACTAGCAGCCATATGGTACCTATATTAGTATTACATCATTGTCAATAGTTTATCGTATTGGGCAACATTTCATAAACTTCTGGTTCAGCTGAATAAGTTAATTATAATTTTATATGTTTTTAATAAAACTTATCTTTATCTAGAATTTAGAAATCAGAATTGTTCAATATATTTCATTGCCTTAAGTTTAGGCTTTGGCTTTAACCTGTGGAGATTAAAAAATCTAACTTATTTTTTGTGTTCCAAAAACATTTTCTTTTGCTCACATAAGTCGTTTTTTACTTTTCTTTTTGAATGCTATTTATGATTTGGTTAAAGCCATTGTAACAATCTTAGCATACAATTTTTTAAAATGTGGTGTTTTCCAAGGAAAAGCTCTGTACGTTTGTTGATAATTTTAGTTGTTTTGGTTGGCTTGTGTTTATTGGTAGTTTATTATACCTCACATGCACCAAGATTCTCTGGTTATCCAGTGACTGATGTAAATACAGCACCTGTGTTTCGCTTACATCGACATAACGGTTGTACACAGTATAACTGTATTCAGAATATAAATGGTCACACAACTTCTCTGTGGCCAGGGCAGCCAGTTACTTCAGAAGATGATAGTAAGTGCACACTGGTGCCTGCATTATCAAAAGTAGACATTAATGCCACAAATGTATATCCAGCTTTGAACTTCTACCCTTCAGAAAGAAGTTACTGGAATAAGACTTTTGAAAATCGTTATCTGAAGAGAAGAAGAGACTGGGCACATTTACCCTTGAAGGTAAGGTTCTGTAAACTTCCTATGGTGTAGGTGAAATCTTTATATCTTAATCTGACTTGAAGGCTTTACATTTCCTGAAAATAGTTCTATATAATACTCACTTTAAATCTTCATATGAATTGGTGATTCTGTTTTAGCATTAAAAAAGCAAATGTGAAAAATGAACATACACTGGTAAGTTTTCTTTATGTTTGGGTAAAAGGTTTTAAGCCAAATTTAATCTTTTGATTTTGGATTTTAATTTATGTTGGTATAGGTATGTAAAAAATGTGTAAGTAATAATTACACCCACTGTTACAATGTATTTAATGATATGCTACTAGGTACTTAGGTTCCTTTTGGAATTTTCATTGAACCCGAGGTTCATGTGTTGTTTGCATTAGTAGTAAAGAGTGCATTTGTAACTTATATTTATTTTTTGAGTTTTTAAGACCCTCATATGCAATGCAGTTTTATTCTTAATTTACAAAGGTAACTTACTTGCTTCCTAATTTTTTACTGGTCTCTTGCTACTGTTCTTTTGATATGTGTAGAGAATTGTCAGTATTAGAATTACAGTTAAGCAAAACAACAAAAACATGCCATGTCAAATATGTTTGCTCACATTCAGCAATGGTTCCCAGTATTTTAGCAACCATATAATTCACTGAATGAATTATTCATTAGGTATTGTAAAATCTCATAACTGAAAATAAAGAATATGTTGGATAAAATACTGGAAACCAGTTGGAAGTTTTACTAACTGTTTGAAAATGAGGGCATGCACTCTGATGGTCTTCTCAAATTGGGAAGAATAATAAATGAACTACATATCACCTTACCTCTTTAAATAGGATGCATTGTGGAACTTGTATTGATTGTATAAGGAAGTAAATATGTATCAAAGAGTAGAAAATGCAACAATATCTTAAAATAAGATATATATATATATATAGTGATATTTTATAAAACAGTAAGATACACAATACATAGCTTATGTATAGTGGTACAATAATTGACATGCAAAAGTAAGTTTTAGTTTTTAATCTTCTACAATTCTTCATCTGCAAATTGTTAAATGCTTAGTTACATACTACTGTGGTTGTATGTAAATTGCAAATGTTGTATCCCAATATACCATGTGTACGCATAGCATACAATGGCAATCAGTGAATGGCAGTTATACTGAGTGAAAATTAAGAAACTGAAATATAGATCAGATGTGTGGAAATATTTTAGGTTTACTGTAATCACAGAAAATTGCTTGATAAAACTTGACAAAAGTAATAGTGTGCAAGCTGTGCAAAACAAATGTGAAATATAAGTGGGGTAGGACTACAACAAACACATTTGCATAAACTGGAATCATGTGGAGGTCGATTTACAGGAAGTGTAAAAAAAAAACTGCAAAAGTAACTTTTATATTTTGTATTTACTTAAATAAAACTTGCATTTATTAATGTTTTTTTTGGGGGGGATTGTAACTGTTGATATGGCTATGTATGTATATTGATTTAAAAATATAAAAATTATTTTTAAGTCATTTAAACAGACTTGTCGGGGAGGTTTTGTGTTGTAATACGTATTTTGTTATGTCTTGTTTATTACAATACGTATCATATGAACCTAGTATCATCTCAACCTTATAAAAATGTGTGATATCTCAGTATACCAGTGATGAAATAAATATTTTATTTTTTGAGTGTGTGTGTGTGATATATATTTAAGAAAAGTATTATTATTATTACATTCATACACTTTGCTGCCAATTCCCTCCCTATAAAATAAGATGCTGATATGCTTCGAAAAGATCAGAATTGGGCTACAAAAAATATTCCTGGGCCCCCAGTGATACAGCTGTATGTTTGTTGATGTACAAAGCCAAAAACTGGGTTTTGATATTGATGGGGGTCTCCACTCAGACAGCCCAATGTGTAACTGTGCTTTACTATAAACAAACAAGAATTCTGGTTCCAAACGTTTGAGATATAAAGATTCAACTTTTTGGACATGTTTTTTTTCTGAAATATATAAGAGCTAGAGGTGAACTGATTCAAATATTTAAAATTATCAGAGATTCTGATAAAGCCCATGGGAAGTTTGTTCATGTAATGGAAATATAAGGTTGGAAATGAAATTATAAATATTATAGAAAATAATTATAATCTATGGAAGCCCAGGTACATGCTAGTTATTAACTTATTAGGCAGAAACTAATTTTCTTTTAATTTTGAACTTGTGGAATGATTTTTCCAGATGGTGTGATGTGTCTTTGTTGTTTGAATTCCTTACAGTTTCTGTGGATAATTTTAAGGATATGAAGGTCTGTCTTGTTTGCAAGGACTATTAACTCAGATGTAAGGGATGCTTTAAGGTAGGACTAGATAGTGGTGATGGCAATGATAAGCAAAATGTTGAAAATAAGATGTAGGAAAAGTCTAGTGTAGGAACAAAGTACAGAAGTAGTTTTAAGAGTAGGCTTAATTTTTACTGTTGTAATGCTAGAAGTATAAGAAATAGAATAGATGACTTTCGAGCACTGGTAGGAATAGAGGAGTTTGATATAATGGGAAGAACTGAAACTTGGTTAAGTGTAGACAATTTTGATCAAAGAAGTTTCTTTGAAATACAAGAGTATAGGTTATTTAGTAGGAATTAGAGTTGTGTGATTGGTGGTATATGCAAATCAAGTAATTGATGGGCTCATACTTTAGGTATAGTAATTCTTGTTTCACATGCATATCCAGACTGGTGCTCATAATCTAAAATAATGATACAGGGATGAGTGCTTAGGCTTTACTACAACTCCTATCAGAGATTGTTTTCTGTGTGACGGCTCTGGTTGTGGATTGTGGCTCTATAGCATATTGTACACTGTAGGATGCTTTTGTGCAATACAATGAGGTCATTGTTGTCCCACACCTCTTTACATACTTTTCAAAGCTCATCAACCATGCATGCATGATGACTCCTGGGTACTTGTCTCTATAACCTAAATGCACAGAAATCTATTGGAAATGTCTTTGAATAGTAAAACATGAATTACTATTTGTACTTGCATCTCATGGAAGAACTTGCATATTGACTTGGATGTTTGATTGATTGCTTTGTCTTGATGGAGCATGCAATCAGTACAAAAAATATGTCCTCATAGTATAGTGATGACAGCACATTAGCCTAATTGTTTGTAGAACTTGCCCTAGAATTTTTCTTGATTCTTGATTTTGACTCACCATTGTAGCTAGTATCTGCAATCAGCATAAATCCCTTGGGAAAACTTTTGAAACGTACTATGTACCATTTTAAAAATGTTTTATTGCTGACAGGCAAATAATAAATTACTTTTACTTTATTGCAGACACTTCAGTAGGCATTTTTCTTCATCTGACATGATGCTGTACTTCAATTTGTCACATGTTAGATATTGCTTATACAGCTTTTTAAACTTCTGAAGAAACCTGTAAACTCATTTCTTCTGTCACTTTTGTAAACCTAAATCCATGTGAAGAATTTTTTTTTTACAGTTCTATGGGAGTTTCCTACTTTAACTACAATGCGTGGTCACAAGTAAATAGACACCTAATTTTCCGTCATTTAACTGATTTATGCTAACTAACTTGTGTTCACAGAGCACTATATAAATGAAAATGGTCTGCACACTAATTATCTTGTGCTACAACATGCCTAGAACTTAAGGTTCTCTTGAATTGTCAGATTTTGTTAGAGGAAGGATAGTTGGTCAAGCAGATGGGGGAATAAGTCAGCAGCAAATTTCGCAGAATTTGGGAATCCCGCTTTTGACAGTCAACAGAATCATCGTGCAGTTCAGGAAACATGGCAAGGAAATAACTGAGCAGCTTCTGGGTCATCCTGGTCCATCGGAGAGGACAAAAAGGGCTGTCAAGAGGAGCATCGAAATGGATCCCAAATTAACGACTGCAGAAGTGGCCAAAGTTGGTGGGATGAGCCCAAAATCTGTTCAACGGATTCTCCACAGATTGGGTTATCGTTGCAGAGTAGCTAGAGGGAAGCCCTTATTAAGACCTGCCAACATAGTCAGACGAAAGAAGTAGGCAAGTGATATGATGACCAAGCCTCTGGACTTTTGGAAGACTGTGTTGTTCTCAGACGAATTAAGATTCGCTCAATTTTTGGACAGTGGAAGGATATGGGTCTGGAGAATGCCTCACCAAGAGTTTTGGCTGAACAGATTGCAGCCAACTGTGAAGCATGGTGGTTTCAGCGTGATGGTTTGGGGAGCTGTTTGGGTTGGTGGGAGATCGAGCTTAGTGGAGTGCGTTGGCAACATAAATTTTGCGAAATACGTCGAATTATTGGAGGAAGGACTGTTGCCACTTTATTCCTCGGGTTTCGTGGACAAGAACACGTTGTTCCAGGAAGATGGAGCATCGTGTCACACTGCTAGAAACACCCAAAAGTGGCAGGAAGAAAATGGTATCCAGAAGTTGCCCTGGCGGAGCCAATCTCCTGACATGAACCCCATCGAAAACCTCTGGGTCATACTCGACCGGCAAGTCAAGAAACAACTAAAAAAACCAACTTCGAAGTGCGATCTACTCCAAGTTTGGAAGCAAGAGTGGGCAAAAATCCCACAATCTAAAATTGATGAGATGATTCTCACGATGCCCTAAATGATCAACGAACTTCACAAAGCGAAGGAAGATCTACTAGATATTAATTAAATTATAAATATATCAATTCATGTGAATATGACTGAAAAATTTCATTTTTTCTGAAGAGGTGGTGTATATTTACTTGTGACCACGCTGTGTACAGTGAACTAGTGTTTTCTTGGTTTGGTTTAGAGAGAATTGTAATTTCTTTACTATCTTCACTGTGTTAATGTTAGCAATTCGTAGATAGCATTTTTTTTTCACCTTGCTTTACCAATATGATTCAATACCAGTTATATCCTCTTCATAATGCTAAAGTTTCATTCCTTGCATAGTCATAGAATAGAAGAAATTTGTGCTGAAAAGTTGTGTAATATAATGTTTTTCAGAAGGAGTCACTTTTAGGCACCATCAATCTGCACTTGCAGATCTCCAACAAGAAAGCACTGGTGACCACTCAAATCAAAATTGGTGTCCAAAGTAGTAGATGCACTTATAGCATTGATAAGAATTTTACAGCAAATATTCATTGATTAGTTAGCCAGGCCTAATTTTTGGTTCAACTTGGGGCATGATAGTGGGTAAAACAAAATGTGGCCTAGCTAACTAATGAATAAATATCAGCTGTAAAATTCTCATCAACGCTATAAGTGCATCTACCAGTTTGATCGCCCATTTTGATTTCATTCCTTTAAGTCGCACACTAAATTCTTTTTTGGCCACACATTTTTTTTCAGACCTAAGGTGTTTTTGATTAGATATCATGACTTTTTGTCAATACACATCAACAAGCCACAGAAAGTAAGAAAGTGACATTAGATAATAACTCACATTTAATATAGGATCGCAACTATATTATTCGGAACAGACCTTTAACTTACAGAACCAAACAGGTTCTTTAAAATATATGGTGGTTGTTTTCCTCTCTAAAACAGTGTTGATAGCTTTCTTTATAGTAATGCCATGGAATTTAGATTAACAGTTTCTTGTCAACACCCCCATGCAATCCAATCAGTACAGTTGTATCAAGCATCATTATTTTTGTGCTGGAAAGTTGGCAATGAACAATCAATAATAACCATCCACCCGTTGGCCTGCAGAAGAGTTTTCATCAAATTTTAATGGTTTTTTTAATAACTTTGAAAATATGGCTTATATTTACACCGAATGAGAATCTTTATTGTAGATTGAAAAGACCTACAAGTGTACCAAATTTGAAGAAAAGTATGTTTTTCTATCAAATAAAGTTTTGTACTTTTGGTGCAAAGGAAAAAAAAGGAAGAAACTCTGTCAAAATTGGAGATGTTATATCTCAGTTATTTCTTAATGGACTGTCTTGAAATTTGGTACGGGAAGTAAGAGTCCAGTAGAGTACATCCACTGAAAATATCCGATAGTTTGGATTACCACAGTCTGAGATACAGAAGGTGTAAAATCACTAAACTATCACTTCTGTTATTAACACACAGTGTGTCCTGCAGCAGGTTGTTTTGGTCACACTACCGTGTGTCTTGATCAGTGTATTTTGTTGTAGTTGAGCTTCTGGTGGAATGGCTAAAAGTTTGCTTTTTAGTTGTGAATCCTTTGTTGTCACATTTTCCACATTAGAAATATCATTTATCTATCTATTTTTTTGGGCAAGCATTCATTATGTGTAGCTCAGTGTTATGAAAGTAGTAAGCCAGAGATTTATTGGTGGTGTTGTACATCTTTATCTCCATCCGTTTTATGTAAACATGAATTTCGAAATCATAATGTCACTGTTGGTGTGAGCTCTGTTTATTTGGTAATTATTTCTCAGTTTAAGAAGTGCTTTAACTGAAAGGCTTCTTCTGAGCCTGTACTGACTAAATGACCTAAAGTTGTGCTACTGGGAGAGAGGTAAATGGCAGAATTTGTCTTGCTGACTAAGTACATATAACTGATTTGTAGTATCTAAATTAGTGAAAAACGTCTAAGCTTTCACTGAAAAAACAACAACAGTAATTGAAATGAGTTTCTTGCTGTGCTTATCTGTCTTTAAGTAGCTCTGTCAACTTAAAGACTTATAGTTTCAAGTTAACATGTATGTGAAGCATAAGGGTTTAAGTGGCTGAAAATTTTATAGGTGTATTAAAAAAATTAAAGTGCTCACTAGCTGCAGTGAATTGGTTAATGCAAGAATGCTTTCAGTGTGCACATGCATAGTAGACATATCTTTAGTTGTATTGCAAAAATAAAAGCTGAATTCATTTAGTGTAAATTCATTTTGTATTGGGAATTAATTATTATAAATTGAATGAAGTTATATTGACTGATTAATGATTTTTATTTTTTACTCTAGGTAATTGTTATGCCTCATACCCATCCTGACCCTGGTTGGCTGAAGACCTATGATGAATATTATGTTACATCAGTGTCACATATTTTGAACAGTATGGTTAACAGGCTAAAAAAGTACAAAGACATGACTTTTATATGGGCAGAAGTTTCTTATTTGTCATACTGGTGGGACAGGTAAGACTATTTGATAAGTCACTTTTGTGGATATTTGTGCATGTTTCCATAGGTTACAATGAATATATGCTTAATGAAACAGAGTAAAAATTATATTATTTTCTATTGATTAACAGAGCTGAGAGAAAAATTTTACTGAATTTCTTTTTCCCAAATGTCAATAAGGGCCTAACATGTTTCATATCAGATTTATATAAAAATGTACACAAATATAGTGCCAGTTTGATTACAAAATATCATAACCATTACTATATCATAATATCGTAGATGAAGTATGTGTGGTTACAGTTTATTTTCTGTGATAACACAGGTCTACGATAGTTTTATTATCTTAAAATTTTTACATTTTCTACAGTAATTCCTGTTTGCTGAATTTGAAAATGATATCCATTTTTCTCCATCACATAAAAACTTACATCATATGTACTTTTACACAAGTGAATCATTTTCATTGATATCGAGTCACATTTTGTTATGCTTTAAATGTTGACAACCACTGGCTATAAATTTTTCTAGACCAAACTCGACATGAGAGTTTTATTGATCGTTCTAAAACCCAAACATAATAATAAAAAATGTTCATTGTGGTAAACAAAATAATAATTTGATCTTAGTAAGAGTTAATTTTTTCTTTGTGATGTGTAAAAAATCTTTGTGATAGAAAAAAATTAATATTATTTTCGAAATCTGCATAGCTGAATTATGGAAAATCTATTATTAAAACCAAAACAACTTTTATGAAGTTGAAATTCGTAGGCCTGTGTAATTGTTCTTGAAATAGTTGCAGAAAAGGTATATATTTACTAACAAATGCTCCCTAGTGGCTCATCTTTATGCCTGAAGGCTTATAATGCTAAAATTGGGTTTTTTTACTCATGGTGGATATAGATAACCCATTGTGTAGCTTTGTGCTTAACTAGGAACAAACAGATAAAAGTTAGCAAATATATTTCTTAACTTTATAATAATCATAATGGGATTACTACCATGTCTACAACCACCAATGGATGGTAAATGGCAGGTAGCTTGTAATATTATGGGTTTAATCATCCAGACATTATTCCCTTTTATTATTATTAATTGCTTTCATAAGGATTTTCTTCTTGTGAGTTGAAAGTTTATTGAAGAAATACGATATACCTGCTGCCTTTTGGGTGTTGTTTCACAGTTTTCTTTCTCAAAGTTTATACCTTTTGACTTTTAAAGTTGTTCTGCAACTGTTATAAATTTGTCTTTGTCAGTTTGATTGTATTTATGATTACACACATATATATATAAGCTCATACAGTATTAAAGGTAATAGTTAGAAGCATTTCTGTGTCACCATATTTAATTATGGTTGCCCATGCAAAATATCAGTATATGTGTTTACTTCTGAAAACATGATATCCATTTGAAACTAATCATTGCTCCATGTAATCTGCCCAGCACTGATGTGGATCTACATTTTATTGTCATTCACGTGTTTTATCTGCATCATGTGCATTATTCTTGTTGTTGTTGAAAAGGGCATGGATATGTTTAGAATGAAAGGATCTCTTCTTAAAAAACATCTGAAAATGTGTTTTCAGAAATGCTAATCACCTTCCTCACCACAGAATAAATAGCTATTACCCTGTGCTACTGCCGAAAAGACTTTGCACATGCACCGAGCTTTTAAATGAAACACGCACCCCTACACGTAATAATGTGTATTGTTTCATTCTACGATTCAATCAGCATTAGACTATACTCCTCCCCTTAAGCATTCTGCATATACCAAAAACTAATTTTTTTCCTAAGCATTGCAGTGTTTAATCATATTCTTTGTTCATTAAGAATCACAGAATTTTTATGCTTGTTATATGAACTTTTGGTTAACATTTGAAGTGTTATCTTTTTTACTTTAATTTTCTTGATTTTGAAAAATAAATATAAAAATTTTAAAAGTTGATTGAAGCTATAGTTCGTTATCATTTCTTAAATTACTTTAATTTTTTCTCTTAATCAAACTACAAGATTTTGGGAACACGTTTTTGAGTCTGTGATATGGTTTCTTTCCCCATTTTTCATAACCCAGTGCTAGGGTTTTGATAACTGACTTTAGTTTTGTCAATACAGAAATGACTATGGCCTAAGTACCATGGACATACCAGACCTACTAAAAATATTTTCGATGAATTTCCTTTCATTGTTCTTATTGAATATAATTTCATGTGTCCACATTTATGAAACCTCCCAATCTCCAGACTTTATTCCACAGGAATTATTATTTTTTATTCTTTCAATGGCACTGGAGTTACTCTGATGGTGAGCACTGCCACTGTACATCATAAGGTTGGTTCATCTTGTACTCATGACTGCATGCATCTGTACTTTTTGCTGGGCTTGCTTTGTCTTTGACCAGCTCTTCCCACTGTCTGCCTTTGCTTCTGGTTTTTCTGTCTAACATGAGGGTCAAATAACACCTGCCTTTGTCCTTTTCTGATCTGATAACTCATGTGACAATTGTTCTTTTACTTCAATTGTTTCTGCTTGTTTTCAGGTGAGTTTCTTGCACATATCTCAACTCAAGATTTTTTTCTCCTCATCATTCTCTTACCTGATTGTTACATTATTGTAGATTCTTTCAGTCAATGTTGACTCCAAGTTGCCTTGGGGATTTTCTTCTTCTTGTACTTTGGCTTTTTTCTATTTTCAACCTGCTTGTCTCCATCTTTTGCTTACTTAGCTTCTTTGCCTCTTTTCCTTCTGGGGCTGTGCTTTGTTACCCTGACAACTTTACTGGGGTATGGTTGCCACAATCTGTTCTTTATATTGCTCCATTTTTTCCTTCCTGTATGCAGACCTTTTTTTTTTTGAGAGTTCCTTGTCCTGTGGTTCCCTCCTGGTGTCCCTATGAGAAATCAACCATCAAGGAACTTAGTGATGAGTTGTGTCTAGAACCACCCCTCAGCTTTGGACATGTGGGACCTTAGCTCTTATACTTTGTTCACCTGTGGACTCACTTTGCAGAGACACTTTGGGCTTGCAGGTTTTCTCTCAGAAGCTTTCTTTGTGATTCAGGATTAAAACCTGTCTGTTTTCCACTATAAGTTCTGAGGACATTCATACAAAGAATGCACTTATTGGATCCGTATTTCCACTACTGTAGTGGAACTTGGTACCTCCTAACCCTGTCCTGGGAGACATTATGTACTATGACCTTCCTTGTTCTTTGGAAGTTTGCTTGTTTGGGTTGGCTGGTCACATTTTAAGTTGGTATTGACTCATATGCACTGTATGATTCATTTGTGTGTTTTTTATCACCTTGTTTTCTGGGTATGCTCAGTCTTCTATTTTCCATTTCTGAGATGTGGAGCTTCTGCTTTCAAGGCTTTTGTGTTCCCTTTTCTTCCTACATATGAAGTTTTGTCTCTTTTTGAGTCTCTCGTAACTCTTCTTCCCCTTCAGTGGATTCTGACAAGTTAGTGAAGTATACATATTGATCCACTGCCTCCTCTCATTTTTTACCTTCATATCTTTCCCTTTTGCTGTTATGGTGGCTTAGACGTTTTCACATGACTCCGAGTGTCAATTTTCCTCCATCCCGATGACTCTAGCTTAGTGGGGTGCATTTCTGGATACCAGTTTCAGTGTTTAATCTCCTGGTGGAAAGTTCAATGGATCTGCTATCATCTTTTGTTACAACTTTTTGGATATCTTAATTTGATATACTTCAGCAACTCCATTGTTGTTTCTTACATCAGCTGACAATGAGATACTCACTCCTTATCCCTGGTACTTTCTTGTTATCAAGCTTCACTTTTGGGCTCATAACAGCATCATCCTGTTGTTGGTCTTCCATATTCTAGGAGCTTTGAATTTAGTAGTGGATCAGCTTTTTGACCCTGGTAGTATTCTTCTGAGTCTGGATTCTTTCCATATGCTTATCCTCCTCTTCAGTTTCTTCCTAGGGTGCTTCTTTTAACCCTCTTACTGTAAGTAAGTCAGATTTTGCATTTCACAACCTTTTACGGAGTTACATTCAAACTTTAATTAAACTGCTTTATTACCAATTTATACAAATAAACTTGGTATTAAAACATATTTAATAAGTCAAATTGTGATATTATATAAGTTTTAAGTTCTTAGTATTTATAAGGTAAATGTTTAAGAAAAATCTTCAATCTCCTTTAGTATTAAAATTATGACATTTGTTCTCTAGGTCTTCCCTCTTCTCTAATTTATTTAACACCCCTCTCTGAAATACAGAATTTAATGTAAATTACTCATTACAATATGGATATTACCAAGACAAAGCCTAATTTTTATAGCTCTCAATCTTATTTGTTTAGGAGTCATAAACTAGAAAATTAGACCCACTTGCCATGCCCACTTCTCATATCCTCTTCTTCACAAATTGCCAATAATTCCATCTGATGTTTTATACTCTATCATTTATAACCAGTAGAAAGGCAAAGTTTTAATTTATTGGAAGACATATGATGCTACATTTTTTTCAGTACTGAGTATTGTTAGTTTTGTCTTCTGTTTGAAAAGTTATCTCCTGGTGTTCAGATTGAGCAGCAAAGGGAATTAATTTAAGCCCCTCTTGTATTATTAGTTAGAAAGCCAGTTAAATTATAATCATTACAGGATATTGTTTGCTTTGTGCATGTTATTATTCTGTGTTCTTAGGTGCATTATATAAGTAAATAAGAATTTAATGTACTGGTACCATCATTACAAAACAAGTAGACTTAAATTCATTAGCAACTGACATAAAAAGCAAGAGGTCAAAGTTAAATACTATATTTCTTGTTTTTCATGTATATTCTTTATTTATGGCTATGAAAATAATGAAAACGTAAAAATTATTAGAAACTTTGATAAGGTTAGTTTAGGTAAGATAATGGAAGATAATAACAATAAAAAATTCTTCACAGGTATGATCATGAGCATCTGGTGCATTACCTCAATCAATACATACAGTACCATGAGCAAGTGGCTTACAACTTATTTGATGGGATTATTAGTTAGACACAGTTCAAATGGCAATAAAACAATAAAATTAAGTACAAACAGATATAAACTATTTAGGATAAACTTTAAACTATTTAGGATAAACAGTTGTAGTTTTCTGTTATAATCTGCAGTCATTTTAGAAAGGAAAAATGGTAATTTAAATCTATTTAATATTTTTTTATGGTGGTCAAATCGACTAAGTCCATATGAAGTTAGTGTAGAGAAAATGTGAAGTTTTACTGAAAAAAACGTTTGATATTTATTTAGGAGGTTTGAGAGGTTACATAAATGAAATTTGAAAGTTTTAAGATGAAGAAAAGTATTTTTTAATCTTAACATGAAAATCACTTTGTACTTAGATCAGCCAACACTCTGGCTCCATATATTAACAGACACATCTTTAGTAAAGTTACCTAATTGAAAAATCTGATTTTTTGTGTACAAAAGATTTGTAATGTATACTGATAGCTTAACAGATTTTATGAAGATACACAAAACATATTCAAAGTTATAGTAAGGAAACTCTGATGTTTACTTTGTGGTTAAAAGTTCAGTCACATTGCCAGACTTTGTATGGAAACAGTTGATTCACAGCACTTCATGCCAGGTTCCTCTTTGGCCGGTACAACTGTGATTGCCCTTTCTTTGCTGTTATTATGTATAGTGGTGGGAGTTTTGTTCAAAGACTTGGTGCATACACAAAAACTTGTCAGCAGTGGTGCAAGGTAATAGCTATCTGTTCTGTGGAAAGGGGACCATCTATCTGAAACACATTTTCAAGTAAGGAAATATATGATATTACTATTGGGTAACTAAATTGTTCATTGTCAATAAATATACAAAAAGGTTTATGGTGATCTCTCGCTACAGCATAATTAAAAACTACCTTAATGCACTGAATAGGCAAACATGTATGTGTTATTAACTAAGGTATTGCAGAACATGAGCAAGTTTATTACATATGTGTATGTATGTATATGTGTGTGTGTGTGTGTGTGTGTGTGTATATATATATATACACACACACACACACACACACACACA